ACTACTACTACTACTACTACTACTACTACGATTACTACTACTCATTCTACTACTACTACTACTACTACTACTACTACTACTATACGACTGCTACTACTACTAGTATTACGACTACTACGAATAATACTAGTACTGCTACTACGCCTACTACTACGAGTACTACTACTACGACTACTACTATAACAACTACTACTACTACTACTACGACTACTGCAAGTACAACTACCACTACTACTATTATTTTTACTACCACTACTACTACTACTACAACTACTACTACTGTTACTGCTACTACTAATACTACGACTACGACTACGACTACGATCACGACTACTACTACTACTACTACTACTACTACTACTACTACTACTACTACTACTACTACTACTACTACGACTACTGCAAGTGAAACTACTACTACAACTGCTACGACTACTACTACTATTACTACTACTACTACTACTACTACTACTACTACTACTACTACTACTACTACTACTACTACTACCAATACTACGAAAACTACGACTACGACTACGACTACGACTACGACTACGACTACGACGACTACTACTACTACTACTACTACTACTACTACTACTAGTACTACGTCTATCTGCTGAACTACCGCTACTTCCACCACTACAACAACAACCACAACTACGACGACCACGTCCATAATCTCGTAGCGCCACTACAATTGTTACCACAACTGCAGCGACAACAGGGGCGATGGAAACATCACCACTCATAAATTTCTTGTTTTTTTTGCTACTGCTTCTACAGCAACTACTGAGCCCACTGAACCTTCCAGCGCTATCAATACTACTACAACCGCTTCTAGCCGTACTACCACAGATGCGGATAATAATGTTTCTACTCCTATTCTCACTCATTCGACATAAACTGCCGTACTGCTAGATCTGCTTACATTACTTCTACTTGTGTTTGCGAGCGCTACTGTGCATACTGATACTGATGCTACTCCTACGACAGTGATTCGGCCACATGGTTGGTACCACGTAGATTGCACTTCGCTGCTCGCACCACGCTGATTCATTCCATACATACATTGGGCCAGTGTTTCCATGGCGGAGCTTGCTGAATTTCCTTGCGCCACATGGCTTGCAAGTCCATAGTGCATGAGCTCGCTGCTTGGAGCCAATGCTGGCTAACATAAATCTTAGTGCCAGTACGGACGTTCGTCCCAGTACGTGTATTCCTCCTCTGTGTGCTTGCGTGCGAAGACTCATCGGAAGGTGATCAGAGGACGGGCGACGAGAAAAGGATGAAAAGGGGGGGCTGAAGTGGGGGCAGCGGAACGACAGGTCGGGACCCAGGCGGGAGGGGAGGGGCACCGGTGGGGCGCAGGGGGCGGGTCTTGGTGAGCAAATGAAGCTGCCCCTCTCAGGGGGAAACCAAAAGATACCGGCGTTCTGACCATGATTTCGAAGCGAATCCATTTGTAGCAGGCGAGGGCCTCCCAGGAGGCCTGACAAGGCAATAGCCAAATGGTGTCCCCAGACGTGCGCCGTTTTCTTTCATCAAACAGGTTCCACGGAAGTCCCGACGCTTTCCCCGGCGCCAGTTTTTGATCCCAACTGATTTTTGTTAACGGCCCCAGAGCCTGGTGAAGGCCCCCGAAAGTCCAAGACGGCCCCACACCTCCCGTCGTGACTCTTCCGCGATGCGAGCATGTCTGGGTCGGTACCTTTTCCAACTCCGAGCTCTGCCGGAGCAGCGGTATTCGGTACTTCCTCTTCGAGCCTGTCATTTTCTAGACTCCGGCAGGTTAACTTGCATGGACGGGTGGGGGGGCTGAACCTGAAACATGCATGGAGCAAACGAGTGCGGAAATCATGCAAATCGAAAGGCACTTGCACGCGACTGTTCGCTTGAAGAGGGGCGAGGGAGGGGGGGGGGGGGGCAACACCATGCAAGTAAACTTGCCCGAATATTGTGTTGATTTCCTTGTTGTTGCTCGTTTATATATATATATATATACATATATATATATATAAACAAACAAAAACTCGTCCCCCTCTGATCGGCTTTCGTTTTTTTGCTCGTTGTGTTTATGTTTTTGTTTTGGTTGTTCGTGTTTTAACGGGTTCTGTTAGTTTTTGTTTGTTGATTATTGTTTCAGTGTTTTGGTTCGTTCAAAAAAAAAAGCTCTTCCTCCTCTGATATGCCTGCTGGGCGGGCGCTGGGAGCAGGAGGCGGCCGCGGGGCGGGAGGCGGAGGCCACAGCGGCCGCACGTGCGCCGCGCCCGGCGGGCCCGAGCCGCGCGGCCTCCCAGGCGTTCATGAAGAGCTCCGCGTTCGCGGCCGTGCCCGCGTTGGACACGCCGACCGCGGCGTCGGGGAAGATCAGCGTCGACACCTCGGCCGGGCAGCCGCGAGGCCTCCAGAGCCGCGCCCGCGGCGTGCTTGGTCAGCGGTGCGGTCCGGAAGATGTTTTTTTGCGGCACCGGGCTCGCGCAGAACAAAACGTGCAGGAAATCACGGAACATCGCTGTCGACATGTCAAACTGCGAACGTATCGAATGACAACGACACAGCGAGCTGTAGGGAAACACGCGCCACGCGTTCCTACAACTGGTTTGGCCACGAGCCACGCTTTCATACCATTGGTTTTCCTGCACCGCCGTCAGCTACCACACCGTTAGCGCGTCTACGGGGCCTCCAATCGTCACGGCACGGGCCCGACCGCAAGGGGCCGACCGCGCTGCGCGGGCCTTTTGGAGGCCCATCTCGGGGTACAGAGCTCTGGGCTGCCCGTTTCTAGTGGCATCTTGTGGCTCTCAGCGCCGCGTCAGCGCCATCACTCCGAAACAACGATCTTTTTCTAATCAACGAACAGCATGTGGAAGCAACGAACACAGCTAAAGCCCACAACCAGCCATTAAACATCAATTGGAAGCCACAGCCCCGAATCACCAGCAGCAACTAGAAAGCAACCAACAGCGACACAAAGCCGCCAAACTGCAACCAACTGCGACCAGAAGCCACCAGGCGCAAGAGAAACAACTCATCATGCATTTTCAAAACTGAGCTCCCAAGAAGAACAACTCACACCGCGACCCCGTGGCCACGCGATCGGCCGACCCCGTGCGGGGGCAAGGGCGGAGGCCACTGGCCCAGGCGGGGAGGGGCATATCGGACTGAAATGGGCAAGACCTATCGCAGATAGGGCGGCGACCGGCCCCAAACCGTACAGTCGGGGTTGATTGTAGAGGACACGCGAGAGGACACGAGACACTTCCGAGGGCCACACTTCCATGGGAATCTGGAGGGCAGGGGTCCCGAAACACAGGACACGAGGGTACCCTTGACTTGGCAGGGTCCACCTAGTAAGCAACCTCGACTGTACGTTCCCGGGCGGGGCTGGACCATCGGGCCCCCGTCGGCGATGAATGGGCAATCCGGGGTCGATGCGCCATGCCCCCCCCGGGCCTATCCCCCCCGATCGTTGCCTCTTGGCTGCCAGGGCAAAGCTCGACACTCTGGCGGCCGTTCGGGATGATCCAGGCACCCCCAGGACGCTCTCGGCGAGGCGCAGCTGCTGGCACCGGTCCCTGGGCCCCTCCTTCGAGTGGGGCATCGACAACATGATTGATGTACCCCAAAATCAGATTTTCCCGCCGAGTTAACGGACAAATGCGTGGAATGTCCTGTAGATCTACTAACCTTTTGCGTGCGTTTTTGTTTTCGTATCTTCGGCGGCAACATCAGTTCGGGGTAGATCAATTCTGTAGCAGGTCCCCCATTCGACTCTCAGGGTCCAAACTTGCACCGCAGTCAACCCGTATAACAAGGATGCACGGTAAGGATGGAAGGGCCTTGGAAGGCCACGTTGACGTTTCTCGAACGAGGTTGGCCAGCGAGGGTCGCTAATGGTGGGCCGAAGTTGCCAAGGATGCAAGGGTACCCTTGGTAAACTTGCGCATCCTCACTGTGCGGGTTGCCTGCGATCTTCCGAGCTGCGCCCAGCCCTTGGCGACGAGGAGGCGCCCCGAGGCCCAACACCTTCAGAGGCGGAGACTCGCGCGCCGTTCCTCGCCGACTGCACCGGCGGGGGCGCCCCGAGGGCCAGCTTCGAGAGGCGGAGGATCGTGCCGCATCGCTCGTGCATCGGTGGTGCATCTGCGCCGTCGGCGCGGAGAAAGTCTGGCTCCACATCGAGCCGCATCTGGAGGAACAAAAGATGGCGGAACAGAAACCTTTGGCGCTCCGCGCGGACTTCTTGGATTCGCGGTGGACACCCCTCCCTGGCGCGCGGAGCGCGCCGGGGGCGGCGCCGGAGGCGCCGCCAGGGGGGAGCGCGGATCCAAGAAAGCTGCGCGGAGCGCCAACAATTTATGTTTATGCCGGTCTTCTTCGAACATCAACAATGCATCGGCGATGCGGTGCGACCCACCGGCCCCACTCAATTACTCGGACCCCATCTGGTAAGCCTAGACAACGACCGCAGTTTCAACTCGCCTCTCTCCGACAAGGGGAACTCACTCAGACCGCGGACCCCGACCGCGCGATCGGCCTCATCCCCGAGGCCGGGGCGTCGTCGCCCAAGTCGACGTCCACGGTGCTCAGCACAGCGAGGTCGTCGCAGTCGAAGATGCTGGCGCCGAGGGACTTCTGCCTCTCGAGCAGGCGCATCTCCTGTTGAAATCGGCCCAGCCCTCCCACATTTCGAGAAGCCAAGGCGGAGCTTCTTCGCTGCTGGCGGCCTCCAGGGGCGCTTGCTGGGCCCCGGGGCCGTCAAAAAACGCCTCAGGATGAAGGCTGGTCCGGCGGGGAAGGGGCTCATACCTTTGGGGATGCACGTCACGAGCAAAGTACGACGACGGGAAGGGGCCGCCTCGATGGTAGAGGCCTCCTAGATAGGGTCGGAGTAGATGGGGTCGGAGAATGCATCGCATCGCCGATACATCGGCGGTATATCGCCGATGTATCGGCGATATCGGCAATGCATCGGCGACGCCAGCGGGGAGGAAATCGGGCTCCACATCGAGCCGCATCGCCGATGCATCGACGATACGGCGCGATCCTCCGACCCCATCTACTCCGAACCCACGTCCGCGAAAACATAACGGCTCGCGATGAAAAACAAGCCGTGGGAAAAGGGTCCAAAACCTCTGTGATGTCTACGTCATGAGCAAAAAGCGCGACGTCCTTTTGAATCCGCGACCACCCTATAATTTCCCAATGGTGTCCCGATGATGCTGGGGGAGCCTTCATGGGAGCCTCTGTGGATCCCCGCAGCCCTGACATAAACATCATTTCGACCAGATTTCCGTGAGAATTCGACCACTCCTCTGCACCCCTTCGTCCAGAACTCGTCCAGATTTCGTCGAGAGTTCATCCGCACGTCGACCAAATCCGATAACACCCTAAAACCGCAAGGAATCCCACCAGCCCTCTTGGCGTAGGTGGTTTAACGAGTTCTGTCTTCTCGCTGCCCAAAATCCATCCTTCCCCTGCTTGGGGGATGGATTCATCATTGTTCCCTATTCATATATACCCCTGTCTCAAGCGACTGGCGGCCAACAAGGAACCATGCGGGCACCCCCCCCACCTTTCCTTTCAAAAAAACAATGCAACACGCACTCTGCTTCCACATTTGGAGCATGCGCGGCCAACCCGATGCGCCCGTCCCACCCCCACCATCCCTTTCAAAAACCAATACAAAGTACACTTTGGGGCAAAGTCTTGACTCATGTTCGTGAGGCCCTCGGGCACTCTGTATTTCCCCACATGTTTCGTGGGGTTCTGATTTTCTCCCCTCCCGCGTCGCATCCACGTCTCACCCGCACCTCCCCTCCCTCCTCCGCCTCTTCTCCTCCTCTTCCTCCCCTCACCCACTCGCAACGCATGCACAGCGCATACATTAGACACGCGTCTACATACAGCCGCACGCATGCGCACACTCGCACACTCGCACACTCGCACACACACACACACACACACACACACACACACACACACACACACACACACACACACACACACACACACACACACACACACACACACACACCATACAAACACGCCAGTGCGCGCCTGGCGTGTTGACTGTATCATACGCCCACATTGAGTCACGCGTCCACCTACAGCCGCACGAACACATCATACACATGCAAAAGGCACACAAGACACCACAGGGGGTGCGCAGCGGGTGGTTTCTCCCGGGGTCCCTGTACGCCCCAGTCGTCCTGGCACAGCAGGCGTGGCACTCTCTCGACGCCATAAAGGGTGCGCAGGGATGGTCTGTCACCGCCGTCCCTATACGCTCCGGTCGTCGAGGCACAGCAAGCGTGGCATTGTCTCGACACCATACAGGGTGCGCGGGGGGTGGTCTCCCACCGCGGTCTCTATACGCCCCAGGCGTCCAGGCATAGCAGGCGTGGCCCTTTCTCGACACCATAGGGGGTGCGCAGGGGGTGGTCTCTAACCGTGGTCTGCATACGCCCCAGTCGTCCAAGCACAGCAGGCGTAGCACTTTCTCGACACCATAAAGGGTGCCCAGGGAGTGGTCTCCCACCGCGGTCTCTATGCCCCCTTCTGACGTCCAGGCACACCACGCGTGGCACCTTCTCGACGCCATAAGGAGTGCGCAGGGGGTGGTCTGCCACCACCGTCTCTATACGCCCCAGTCGTCCTGGCACAGCAGGCGCGGCCCTTTCTCGACACCATAAAGGGTGCGCGGGGGGTGGTCTCTCACAGCGGTCTCTATACGTCCCAGTCGCCCAGCCACAACAGGAGGGGCATTTTCTCGACGCCATAACGGGTGTGCAGGGGGTGGTCTGTCACCGCCGTCCCTATACGCCCCAGTCGTCCAGGCACAGCAGGCGTTGCACTTTCTCGACGCCATCAAGGGTGCGCAAGGGGTGGTCTCCCACCGCGGTCCCTAGACGCCCCAGTCGCCCAAGCATAGCAGGCGTGGCACTTTCTCGGCACCATAGGGGGCGCGCAGGGGATGGTCTCCCGCCGCGGTTTGTATACGCCCTAGTCGTCCAGCCACAGCAGTCGTGGCACTGTCTCGACACCAGAAGGGGTGCGCAGGGGCTGGTCAGTCTCCCGTGGCTTGACCGGCGTCACCAACGGTATCGGCAGGGCAGCGGCCACCAGCATCATGCTCGCATGTTTGATTTTAGATATCATCATTCTAGACATGATGTAAGTATGCGGGTTTCCTCGGTAATGTAGTGTTTGTGTCAGGGACGGCGGGGGTGTCAGCATATTGCCTGCTGCGTGCAAGGCTACCAACCCTCACAAGAAACCTAGCGGACAAATCTGGATCATGCGTGGCCTCCCCGCGATCACTGACATTTTTTGTTAAAAAATGGCGGGGGTGGTGGCATGTGGCCTGCTGTGCGCAGGCCCACCAAACAAAATGATGGGTATTGCTGTTCGACCAGGATGGTGGGGGCCGAAATGTTTCCCGATGTGTGCTGTGAAATGCACAGGCGCACCTGACACACTCTGCGCGTGCCCCGAACGTGGCGCACCTGGCGCGGCTGGAATATGCCGCACACATGGCGCACGCGGAGCACGTGGCGCATCTGGTGCACCAGGCGTGCCTGGCACGTTCGGGCCCCAAGGTTGCATGGTGCGGGTGGCGCGCCTGGCACGTGCAGCGCACTTCGCCACAGCGTCGCGCACATCTGGTCGGTTCTGGTTCCAATTAGCTGTCCATCCACAGGCGACCGCAGAACATGCTGATGCCCGGGTGTTACGTATGTGTTGGGTGGGTGGGGTGGGTGGGGGGAAAGCCAAGAGTCCCCCTCCCCGCCCGCAAGCCGTCTCGCTGACCCCCACCCGCACTCCCAACACATACGTAGCACCCGAGCCAGGCCCGAGCCGCAGCATATTCAACAGTCGCCCTTGGATGGGCAGCTACTGGGGGCCAATCCGCCGCCGCCGCCGCCGCCGCTGTCCGCCGCCGCCGCCGCCACCGCGCCGCCCGCCGCCGCCGCCGCCGCCGCTGCCGCCCCCGCCCCCGCTGCCAAATCGCCGCCGCCGCCGCCGCTGCCGCCGCAGTCGCTGCCGCCACCGCTGCCGCCGCCGCCGCCGCCACCGCCGCCGCCGCCGCCGCCGCCCCCGCTGTCACCCGCCGCCCCCGCCGCCGCCACCGCCGCAGCCGTCGCAGCCGTCGCAGCCGCTGCCCCTGCCGCCGCCGCCGCCGCCGCCGCCGCCAAGTGTATTCTGTATTGTTGTTGTGACAGGGATGGTGGGGGAAGGCCGCATCGGGTTCGGTGCGCATGCTCCGAATTTGGAGACAGAGTGTGTTTTGCATGGTTTTTTTAACAAGGATGGTGGGGACAGAGTGTGTTTTGCTTTGTTTTTTTACAATGGATGGTGAAGGGGGTGCCCGCATGGACCTGGGTTGGCTCCCAGTCGCCCGGTGGAGGGGGCGTATACTAATGGGGAACAGTGATTCAGCGGCTTGCTATCTACGGGGTGTCTTGGCCCCTCCTCCCGCACCCCTGGGCCTGATAATAAGGGGGGCGCGAGGCGTTAGAGCTTCCAAGATCGCCCAACATGGCTCTAGGAGGGCATCAGGGACCCCAAGGTGACCTCCCAAATGGCGCACGATGGCTCGAAATTGCTCAAGGTAGCTTCCGACGCACATACAATCGGCCTCAAGACGGCCCCGAGGTTTCACGTGCCCTCCGAGCGCTCCAAGGACCCCCCATAAGGCAAACATGGTCCCCAAACGTAAGAAGCCTTCGTGTTTGATGGGTCGCCTTCTCGCCTTTCGCTTCTGATGGGCCTCGGAAACCTGGCCCAAAAGAGCCCCAAGAGGGACCCAAGAAGGCTCCAAGACTGCCCCATGAGCGCCCCAAGCCGGCCCCAAGACGGATTGAGCCGCCGAGGGGAAGCCAGAATTTACGCCCCCTCTTTTTTCAAACAGCGACCCCAACATGTACCCCCCCCCCAGCTTCAGACCTCACGAATGAGCCCCTTACGGGGCCCCAAGGAATCCCCACGTAACTCCGCGACGGCCCCAAGAGAGACCCAAGATGGTTCCAAAAGAGCGCACAAGCAGAAAAAAAAACATCCAAGGCGGCTTCTGCACTGCATGCTCCTACACTTCCCTGATAAAAAGGGAACTCGCCTGCCGATCTGTTTCTGGATGGGCTGGTGAGGGTACTTTCGGGTACGCAGGCGCACGAATCAAGTCGGGTCGCACGCAGGTGACATGGCCAGGCCATGTCACCTGCGGAAGAAAAAACAGGGCAACGAGCGCGACGGGACAGGCCGCTGGTGAGGATACCTGTTTGGTCCGCGGGCGCGCAAAGACGAGTCGAACTCCGAGCAAGCTACGGCGGGCCGCGCTCCGTAGCTAAGGGGCACACAGTGAGACGAGCGGCATCCGCGGGCAGAAGGGGTAGTGCAGAAGTACCGCCCAGCGCGCGAAGCTGCCGCACTGGTGAGGATGCGTTTGTGATTGCGAGTGACGCGGAGCCAACCGCGCACCGTCGAGAAGGTCGCAAGCAAGACGCGACCCGAGCAGCCACAAGTGGGACGCAGGAGAAGGGCAACGAGAGAGCAACTACGCGGCGGGAAAAGGGAACCGAACGACAGACACACGAAAAGAGCGAGAGGAACGGAAGAGCGAAGAGGGAAGACAAAACGGAATACAGAATGCAAGCCTCAGCTCAAACTCAGACAAAGTAGTAGACGACCGCCCCTTGACCCTGCGCAGCGCAGGGCACGAATGGTCTGGGATGCTTTATACGGAGGTGGTGACGTGACATGGGCGCATCTAACTCTGCGAGCGGCATTCGTGAGGCTCGCAGCCCCCCCAAGGATGGCGAGGTCCCGCTCAGATCTGCATGGTACATCACTCCGCTGGACCCGCCAGCAGCCTTCGAAAGTGGCGACAGTTTCGCATATCGCAGCCCCCCAAAGAACGGCGAGGTCAACCTCAGATCTGCGCGGTGCCTCACTCCGCTGGAACCACCAGAAGCCCTCGAAAGTGCAGATCGCAGCCCCCCCCCCCCCCCCCCCCCCCCCAGGGAACGGCGAGTCTCGCTCAGATCTGCGCGGTTGCCCCACTCCCGCTGGAACCACTAGCATCCTTCGAAAGTGGCGACAGTTTTCGCAGACCGCGCCCCCCCCCCCCCCCCCCCGCCAGGGACGGCGAGGTCTAGCTCAGATTTGCGCGGTGCCTTACTCCGCTGGACCCACCAGCAGCCCTGGAAAGTGGCGACAGTTTCGCAGATCGCAGCCCCCCCCTCCCCCCAGGGACGGCGAGGTCTCGCGGGAGACAGGGGGCGGGAGGCAGGAAGCGGGAGGAGGAGAAGGACGCGACCGCAGTGCTCTATTCAAAACGAATACCCAACCAAGGAGGGTTGGGAAATTATCAAAAACAGTCGAAGAATCGTCCTCTGATTATTTTGTTACTCTTCTTGCATATTCCTCCAGTGGAGGGACATGCCCGACTTAAGCCTCCCTTCCGCCCGCGCTCGCCCTCTCCTGCCCCCCCCCCCGCCGCCCTGCCCGCCGTGCCTATCTCATGTCTGCTCCCCTCCCGGAGAGGAGTGGTTGCGTCATCGTCGACCCCATTAAGAGACAGAAAAAACTGTCCATATCGTACCTAAATCGATACCTTCTGCCGCTGAGTTGCTGCAGTGTGAAGCATGAGCCACTTCTACGTGCCACTCCGTGAAAAAACTTTTCGCTAGGGGATTGGTTCGGTGTCGGGAGTCACGCATCGGAAGGGGGGGTGAGGGAGAGGAGACAGTAGAGACAGGATGTAGGAAGGGATGAATATTGGAAGGAGGGATGAACATTGGAGGATGGAAAAAGAGAGGGGCTCACTCTTCTGATGTCCAGGCTTCGGCTGGAGAGTTCGATGAGAAAGTGACGCGAGTGCCAGACATACGTTAGACAGCAAACCGGCAAGCAAACGTCTTGCAATATGTCAGACAGTCAGCAGATACACATCTGGGGGGCCGACGCGGTAGGCCCCTCCTTGCATGCCCAGGGGTACGCCTTGCATAGATGGACTAAACATTTGAGGCCCTCCCTCCCGAATCACATCTTTTCCCATTCCTCACGACTCGGCCGAACTCCCATCCTCCTCCGCCACCCCCTCCTTCTCTCTCCCCCTCTATCTCTCTATCTGTCCTCCCTCCTCCTCCCTCCTGCCTCATTCCTCCTCGTCCCCCCTCCTCCTCCTCATGCCCCCTCCTCGTACGCATCCCCCCCCTTCCGACATTGTTTCCTTCATCCATCCTCCTCCTTCCGCCTTCCTCCCTCCATTCATTCTGCAATGTCCTGGCTCCACCTTCTACTCCCTTCGTCCTCCCGGCTACCCTTTTCCATCCTTCATCGCCCTCCTCCTCCTCCTCCTCCTCCGACTTTCCAACTCCCACAGCCCGTTCCCCTCCTTCTCCTCCTCCTCCTGATCCTCCTGATCCTCCTCCTCCTCCTCCTCCGCCTCCTCCTCCTCCTCCTCCTCCTCCTCAATCCTCCCAGTATCCTCCGCGTCCCTGCCGATCCCTGCTCCCGTATCCCGGCTCCCGCGCGTATCGTGCTGCGCCCCCCGCCCCTCACCATCTGTCCAGACATGCGCCCGTGCTCCTTCGTCCGCCCCTTCCCCCTTCTGCCTGGCATTCTTTGGCGGCGCGCAGAGGGGGGCAGGGGAGGGGGGAAGGCTTCTTAGAAGGGGGCTGCTTCTTAGAAGAAGCACGGGCCTTACATCTCTAGATGAGGCCCGCGCCTTCTAAGAAGCAGGGGTGCTTCAAAGAAGCCTTCCCTCCTCCCCCTACCCCCCTCTGCGCGTGGCTGACTCCTCTCCCACTCCATGATGCTGCCCCTGCGCGCCCGAGTCCCCGGGGATGGCGCGAGAGACGCAAGCGAAGTCCCCAAGCAGAGCCCCCTCGAACTCGCTCCACATCCTCCCCCCCCTCCTCCTCCTCTGCCTATTCCCTCCTCCCCCTCCGCCTCCGCTACCGCCACCGCCCCCTCCTCCGCTCATCCTCCGCCCCCTCCTCCTCCTCCTCCTTCTCCTCCTCCTCCTCCTCCTCCTCCTCCTTTTCCTCCTCCTCCATTTCCTGCTCCTCCGCCGTCCCGGTCCTTATGAATAAATCCTCCCTGTCGCACCACGAGGCCAGTCAAAAAGGTGGGCCGGGCGTTGCGCTTGAGACTTCCTTACCATTTATGAGCCTCAAGCTGAAGCGCTGGCAAGAGCTTCACAGATGAAGACACATCGCTTCCAAAATGCGACTCTCGCCATTCGCGCCACGCACATTCGTTCAAAAGTTCCCTAGATGTTCACGGACTGAGGGAAGGTCGCTTTCAAAATGTGGCGCTCGCCGCGCACATTCGTCTTAAGCAGTTGCAAGGGTTTCACACATGGAGGGCGGGTGGTTTTCAATATGTGGCTCTCGCCTAGGCGCCGCGCACATTCTTTTCGAACACTTACAACACTTCCACAAGTGGGGGGCGGGCCGCTTCCAAACTGTGGCTCTCGCCGTAACGCCGCGCACATTCATTTTTAACATCTGCAAGAGCTTCATGTATCGAGGGCGGATCCTTTTCAAAATGTGGCGCTCGCCTTAGCGTCGCGCGCATTCGTTTGTAATATTTGCAAGGGTTTCCTTGCTTCTCTGGAAAACGTACCAGAGATGGCGTTTTGGAGCAATTCAGGACTGTCAAGACGCAACACTTACGATGATTCGCGGTGTTGATGTCTCAGGAATGGTCTTCTGGCACGATGCAGGATCGCCCAGACGCAACAGTCAGGTTGACTCGTGGCGTTGAAGTCCTGGAACTGGCGTTTGGGCACGCCTCAGGATTTTCACACGGGTGCCCGCCAACGGGGCACTTCGCTCAGTGAGAATGAATCCTTGGAGGGGCCTCTGAAAAGGGAGCTTGGAGGGAGGGTGTATTCCAACATCGTTCATGAGTCTTTGGTTAAGAATGGTCCTCCTCCTCCTCCTCCTCCTCCTCCTCCTCCTCCTCCTCCTCCTCCTCATCATCATCATCATCATCATCATCATCATCATCATCATCATCATCATCATCATCATCATCATCATCATCATCATCATCATCCATCCTCCTCCTCCTCCTCCTCCTCCTCCTCCTCCCTTTCCTCCTCCTCCTCCTCCTCCTCCTCCTCCTCCTCCTCCTCCTCCGCCCCCTCATCCCTCTGACGACCCCCCTGGGTCCTCGGGGTTGAAGCGTGAGACCACAGAGAAACAGTAGAGCGACGGGGACCCCTTCGGCCGCACTTCCTCCAGGCAGCGCGAGGCGCCGCCGCGGGAGACGCGGCGAGCGAGGGCGCAGCGGGTGAGGGGGGGGCCGCGAGCGGAACCTGGGAGAGGAGGAGGAGGAGGAGGAGGAGGAGGAGGAGGAGGAGGAGGAGGAGGAGGAGGAGGAGGAGGAGGAGGAGGAGGAGGAGGAGGAGGAGGAGGAGGAGGAGGAGGAGGAGAGGAGGGAGGAGGAGAGGAGGAGAGGAGGAGGAGGAGGAGGAGGAGGAGGAGGGGGAGAGCGTCAGGGGGGACCCGTTCGGGAGAGGAACCCTCGACCTCTGCCCTGCCCACCCGCCCGGCAAGCCAGCGAGGCACCCACGCGCCGCACCCGCGCAGCCGGCCCAGCCAACTCTTCCGCCGCACGCCCTCGCTCGCTTGCGGGGCAACGACCGGGGGGACCGGCTCAGGAGAGGAACCATCGACCCGGAAATCGGCGGTGTATTTCGCCGATTGAGCGGCGACGGGCCCCCGGATCCTGGGCAGTGTGGGATATCGGGGCCCTGTGGGCGATCCATGGGCGATTCGGGGTCGATGCGAATCCCCATTGAGCCTGTCCCACGCGACGAGAGGAGACGAGGGGAGGAGACAGAAGCAGAGAACGGGAGGGGGAGGAGACAGGGGAGCGGGGGGAAGAGAGGGAGTGGCGGGTCATGGAGGCTTCGAGAGGCTCGTCATCCAGGGACACGGCTTTCTCACCAGAGTGACGCCAGCTTGCCGATTCATGCATGGAGCAAGGCTCGATCTGGACAGCTGAAAGCTTGGGGTGCGTACGCCCGATAATCAGTCTCCAGGACTGCAATGCTCCTTTTGACAGGGAAAGGCCGTTGCAATCCTTGCCGAGCTTCTTGACCTGACCCCCAGTCGCATATGAAAAGCACTTCCTGCATGCGTACGATGAGATGTCACCGGTGCTCGAACAAAATGACGAGCAGATGGCCGTGTCGGACAATCGCCAAGATTCGCTCTGGTGGGGAACCTCGACATCCACTGCAAGAAGGCTTCTGCTCCCTCCTACTCGTAGTCACGCACACGTGATAACTCCAAAAACTGTGGCAAAAAGACCTATCGTGAGTGGGACAGGGGGATTTGACTTGCCTCCCCCGTCCAACCACTCGCGAGACCCCGTCTGGGTTTCAAGGGGGCCAGGCTGGGAGCAATCTGGCAGCAGAACGGCGAATGACAGCACGAGAGGTGGCCACTAGCACCTAAGCGCACGGTAGGGCTGAAGGGCTCAGGGGGCTCGTCATCTAACCCCCAGGCCCCTGATCCGCAGGTCATTCTGCCACCACGTATTTCTTGGGGTGGGCGTGGCTGGCCAACCCACGACTAGTCGTCTGACCGCCATCGCCCTCGAACCTCATCGCCACCTGCCGTTCCCGACAGGTCAAGGGGTGGGGTTGGCGAGCCAACCAACGTGGTCTGGCACGTGAGCCGCAGGACGTGCGCGCGGGAATGCACGTTGGGCGTCGGCGGCGCTCGCAAGCGCGAGCGTTGGTCCCGAAGGCTTTGGGCCCCACCGGGCCCCTGCTCTTGCCGAAACCGGCGACCATAGTGTAGCCCAATGTAATAGAAATCGGCGAGTATCGCGGCCAGCGCCCGCGTGTCTGCTTCCCTCTTGGCGCTCGCAGCCCATCTCCGCATCGGAAGAATCGAGGGCTTGCGGCCGCAGAAGCGCGGAAGTGATAGAACGAAACACTCGGTTGCGCCGTTCGCCTCGATTCGTCGCACATGGCACAATGCCTCCGAGGGACGCGAAACCAATCCACACACCCCTCCTCGCATACTCTTGCTGCCTCAGCCTTCTACCGCCCCAGGAACGCCCTACGACCCCCTAGGCCCCCTAACACCTCCAAGCACCCACATCTGCGTTCTCCTCCTCAGCCTCCTCGTATCTCCTCCACCTCCTTCCTCAACGGGCCCGTACGGGGGGCCAACAACAGACATTTCTATGTGTTCGTCCGCGCCCTCGCACAGCGTCGCCGCCCCACCCGCACGCGCGACGCGGACCGCACCTGGGATTCCCAGGTCCTGGTGTTTGGGGGGGGCACTCCGTTTCACTTCGGGCTCACCGCCCAATCCAAAATATCTGGCGTCGTGTGTTTGTTCGCAGCGTAGCTTTAAATCTGAACGCCTTCCCAGGGACCAAGTTTCCATCTCGGGCCGTTCTTGACGATCCGGGTTCGGTGAGGGCTCCCGTATGCAAAAAGACATTGCGTCGTGATTGCGGATATCCGGCAACCGCAGATGAGCAGCTAGGCGTCATCCAAGCGGTAGGTCTGACACATGAGAAGTGCAGCCGCACCTAGCTCCTGCAGGATAGAAATGCCGATGCGCTCTGGCTCGGTGCAAGAGAACCCACCCCATGGAAGTGTTGCTGCTGCTGCTGCTGCTGGCAGCTGCTCCCCTGTGTCTGTCGCCTCTGCTCCTTGACATCCTCGCGACGTGTCTTGCGTTCTTTCCGAGTTCTCTTTTTGGGGGGCCCTGACAGGGCCTGGGCCTGTACAACAACTGTCCCCAGGGCGGAAGATCCAGGCTTCTGGGGAGCCACGTTGCGAACAAAGCGCGACGTTGGATGTCCGAATGCTGGCGGTGAAATGCTAGCCTCCCTCGACTACCCAATGCGAATACGACTCTCCCCTCTTCGCAGATGTACTCCAGATTTCGTAATAAAAGGGAGGGGGTCTGGACCCTCCAAGACAAGCCATTTCAGACCTCCCCCGTGGGAGAACCCTCCAAAACATCGTCCCCAGACCCCCCCAGGCCCTCCAAGATAGCCTGGAAGAGACCCCCCCCGAAGTGAGACCCCCTCCCTTTTATTACGAAATCTGGAGTATGCTGTCTTGGTTTGCTGCCGCCTCTCCCACGGCCCACGCCAGCTGGACCCGGCCTGCTCGGGGGCCTACCGCGGCCCTCATGGTCGCCTTCGTCACCAGCGTCGCCGTCGCCATCCTCGTCGTCGCCGTCGTCCTGGTCCTCGTCGTGTCGTCGTCGTCGTTAACCTGCTACAGTCGGACCTAGGCCAAAAGAGCATCCCTCAAGAGAATGAGACACTCCGCCGGCCACAACACACAGAACATCCTAGGGTACCCTCCCCAGGATGCACAAGACCATGCAACAAGCGTCAAGAAGATTAGGGTACCCTCCCTGAAGCGACCTCGATCTTATACCTCGGCCCACCTTCTACTCCTCATCCTCTCCCTCCTCTTCCTAGTCGTCCTCCATGCCTTCCTCCTCCTTCTCCTGGTCCCCAGAAACTCCCCATCCCCCTCCCTCCACGCTAGGTCTGGCCCCCGGCCCCGTCGCGCTGCAAATACCATGCAATCTTCAGGGTAGGATTCGGCAGCTGGATCGGCGAACGCGAACATGCTGAGCACGTGGTCAAGGGGGTGAGGAGGTGAGGAGGGAGGACCGGGATGCTAGCCGTGGCGCGCGCACCTGGCTTGCCGCACCCCCTCCCCTGCCCTCCCCCTCTCCCCGCTGTCTCCGGAGGACTCTGGAGGACCCCGAAGGTCCCTGGAGGTCCACCATGCCTGAGGCCCCTGGAGGTCGCGGTAGGCCCCCAGGAGCTCCACAAGGGCCAGGGGGGAAGAAGATACCTCGATTCCCCAGCTCCTCCTTCTATCTCGACCCTTCTGCCTCCTCCTCCTCCTCCTCCTCCTCCTCCTCCTCCTCCTCCTCCTCCTCCCTGCTGCCCCGTCCTCCTCCTCCTCCTCCTCCTCCTCCTCCTCCTCCTCCTCCTCCTCATGCCGCATCCTCATTCTCCTCATTCTCCCCTCCTCCCCCCCTCCTGCTGGCCTTCCCCCGACAGGCGATGTCTTGATGTTTGAACGCGGGGTCTCCAGAAGTCTGCAGCCTTCGCACAAGGCCTCTTTCTCATCACCCGTCGTTTTCTGCCGGTCCCGAGGCCTGGCGAGGACCCCTAGAAGCCGAAAGCAGCCAAGACCATTCAGCATCGTGTTTTTTTTCACGACGCGAGCATGTCTGGAACGGGCCAGCCCGCCCCAAAAGGTCGAGCATGAGATCGACTGCAGAATTGATATACCCCAGCTTCTGTCCATTCGAAGCTACGCACAAAGACGTGGAAGGCTGGTGAATCTAAGAACCTGATACGTTAATAACATCGGGTAATGATAATGTGGGATGACGATTAAGGAAAAAAAGGAGGGGGGGAACGATTCAAAAAATAGTTTCCCACACTGGGGGGGGAACACTTAGAAGCAGGGCTCGCCTGTGCGGTCGTCACAGAAGGCCCGCCTCTGCGACGACCACACAAGCAGGTCTCCCCGTGTCGAGGCTAAAAAAAGCCCGCCTGCGACGACCACACAGGCAGCGCTCCCCTGTGACGAGGCGCAAGGAAAGCACCCGCCTGTGACGACCACGCAGGCAGCGTTCCCTTGTGACGAGGCACAAGGGGAGGGCCCGCTTCTGTGAAGACCACACAGGCAGCGTCCCCTTGTGTGGAATCTGAATGAGAGGGCCCGCCTTTGTGACGACCATACAAGCAGGGCTCCCCTGTGTCGAGGCTCAAAGACAGGGCCCGCCTGCGACGACCACATAGCCAGCGCTCCCCTGTGACGAAGCGCAAGGAAAGCGCCCGCCTGTGACGACCACACAGGCAGCGCTCCCCTGTGACGAGGCGCAAGGAAAGCGCACGCCTGTGACGACCACGCAGGCAGCGCTCCCCTTTGACGAGGGTCAAAGAAAGCGCCCGCCTGTGACGACCACACAGGCAGAGCTACCCTGTGACGAAGCTCAGGGAAACTTCCACCGCGGGGGGGGCGCGCGCCCGAGGACGGCGGGGGGGGGACGATTACAAAAAATAGTTTCCCAGCCCGGGGCCGGTTTTTTCTAATCAGCATCCCCTGCGCCACCGCGTGAACACGACCCCCGGTTAATTTTGTTCATCATCATCCTCCATTAAGTCGAGAATCTCTGAAACCTGGCGGCTCTGGAAGATGCCACAGGCGCCGCGGCCTTCTCAGAGCGTTCTGGAACGCTCTGAGAGCGTCCCAGAACGTTCTGGAACGGATTTATCCTCTTTCTAGCCCCGTTCGAATGTAGTCGACTTCCCACTCCAAGGATCGGCGGCAAGCGAGGAGGGAAATGAGAAGGAGAAGCCCTTCTGAGAAGACTCGGAATTTGTTTGAGGCTTCCCCGAAGACACAGGACAAAACTTCTCAGAAGGCGCGAGGGCATCTGAGAAGTCCAGCCGCCTTCTGAGAAGGCCTTCTCCTTCTCACCTCCCCCCCTCGCTCGCCGCCGAGGTCAGGGACTTTGCCAGATGGGTTCGAGGTTTTCGGGAGGTTGCGTCGGCCCTCGGCTGCTTACCAGCCTCGAGCTGCTCCCCAGCGGCTGCGCCACTCGTCGTCGTCGTCGTCGTCGTAGTCGTCGTCGTCGTCGTCGTCATCCCAGCCCCGTTCGGATGTAGTCGACATCTCGCTCCCAGACAGGGGCCTCCTCAATAGGGTCAGAGAAGGTGGGGTCGGAGGATCGCGCCGCATCGCCGATACATCGGCGATGCTTTGCCGATGCATCGGCGACATCGGCGATGCATCTGCGACTCCAGCGTGGCGAAAATCGGGCTACACATCGAGCCGCATCGCCGATGCATCGACGATACGGCGCGATCCTCCGACCCCATCTAGGAGGACCCCATCTGGGAGGCCTAGATCCCGGAGAGGTGTGGCGGCGGGGCCGAGACCGGTCCTTGCAGGGGTAGCCGCACGTGCCGCGCCCGGCCCGGTGGAGCATGAGCTGGGCCTGGCGGCGCTGCAGACCTCCTCCTCCTCCTCCTCCTCCTCCTCCTCCTCCTCCTCCTCTTCCACATCGTCCTAATCCTCCTCCTCTTGCTCCTTCTCCTCCTCCTCCTCCTCCTCCACCTCCTCCTCCTCCTCCTCCTCCTCCTCCTCCTCCTCCTCCGCCTCCTCCTCCTCTCCTCCTCTCCTCCTCCTCCTCCTCCTCCCTCCTCCTCCTCCTCCTCCTCCTCCTCCTCCTCCTCCTCCTCGTCCCCCTCCTCCTCCTCCTCCACCTCCTCCTCCTCCTACTCCTCCTCCTCCTAATCCTCCTCCTCCTCTTCTCCTCCTCCTCCTCCTCCCTCCTCCTCCTCCTCCTCCGTCTCCTCCTCCCCCTCCTCTTCATCGTCCTAATCCTCCTCCTCCTCCTCCTCCTCCTCCTTCTCCTCCTCCTCCTCCTCCTCCTCCTCCCTCCTCCTCCTCCTCCTAATCCTCCTCCTAGTCCTCCTCCTCCTCCTTAATCCTCCTTCTCTCCTCTCCTCCTCCTAGTCCTCCTCCTCCTCCTCCTAATCCTCCTCCTCCCACTCCTACTCCTCCTCTTTCTCCTCCTAATCCTCCTCGTCGCTCTCCTCCCCCTCCTAATCCTCCACCTCCTCCTCCTCCTCCTCATCCTCCTCCTCCTCCTTCTCCTCCGTCGCCTCTCTCTTCTCTTCCTCCTCCTCCTCCTTCTTTCTCCTCCTCCTCCTCCACCTCCTCCTCCTCCTTCTCCTCCTCCTTGGGCCGAGCCATTCGTAGGAAGCTGGGGCGGGGAGGGCACGTGAGGAGGGAGGAAGGAGTAAGGAGGGGAGGGGGGAGGGGAGGGGGGAATGGTGAGGAGGGGTGAGGAGGGGAGGGGGGAAGGGCAACGAAGGAGGGGGGTAGAGTATGGAGAGGGGGGGGGGACGGTGAGGGAGGAGGGAAGAAAAAAAGACGACGGAGGAAAGAAGAGCGGTGAGGAGGAGGAGGAGGAGGAGGAGGAGGAGGAGGAGGAGGGGGAGGAGGAGGAGCAGGAGGGGGAGGAGGACGAGCAAGGAGAACGACGGAGTGGAAGGAGGACGGCGAGGTACGGAGTGGAAAGAAGAACGACGGAGTGGAAGGACGACCAAGAAGGTCGACGGAGTGTAAGGAAGAAGCAGAGATCACGGGTGAGGTGCGGTGGAGGGAGGGGGCAGGGATGGAGAGAGGCGGCGGACGCATGAGGGAGGAAGTGCGAGGTAGGGAGGCCGGAGGGAGGAGGGGCTGGGAAGCGAGGAGGCGGTTGGACGGAAAAGGGAGAGGGAGAACAAACAGCGAAGTTGGAGGAGAAGGAAGTGGATAGGTGAGGAGTAAAGACGAATGGTGAGGAGCTGGAAGAGGAAGAGGATGAGGACACGGAGGATACGGAGGATGGATTGTGTGGGGGAGGTGGGTCGGTGCGAGGTTGCAGGGGGGAGGGCGGGCACTGCAGGAGAGGTGGCGGCAACATCAACGGCGGCCGGGCCTGATAGCGGGAGTGCGGGTCCATCTTGCCATTGGTCTCCTCCCGAGGCTGAAAGGGGTCTTCTCAACGGCGACCGTTGCCTCTCCCCTCATCCCGCTGCTCATCCCCCCCTGCTCTCTCCCTCAGTCCCGCCCTCTGCCCTTCCTCCTCTCCATACTCTATCTTCTCTCTTTCTCTGTCTCTCTCTTTCTCTCTTTCTCTGTCTCTGTCTTTCTCTCTCTATCCCTCTCTGTCTCTCTCTCTCTCTCTCTCTCTCTCTGTAGCTGTTTCTCTCCCTCTGTCTCTGTCTCTGTCTCTGCCTTTCTCTCTCTCTCTCTCTCTCTCTCCCCCTATTTTTTGTTTCTCTCTCTCTCTCTCTCTCTCCCCCCCTATTGTTCTCTCTCTCTCTCTCTCTCTCCTCCTTAGTCCTTCTTCTCCGCCGCTTGCTCGTCGTCGTCCTGCCCCTGCTTCGCTCACGGAGGGCGGGCGGGTCGCCGCGGGCACAGGCCAGCAGGCTGGCTCAGCGCGCTGAAGCCCAAGACGGCCCAAGACTCCTTCAAGACACCCCAAGGGGCCTCCAAGAGACCTCCCAAGAGGCCACCAGAGGCAACAATTCGCAATTTCCTCTAAATGTTTGGAGGAGTTTGGCGTTCTCGCCTTTTCGGCTTCCGGGCGCTCCAAGACGGAGCACGAGGCCCCCAAGATCGCCCCAGCATGGCCCAAAAGGCCTCCAAGAGGGCCCCCCAAAGGCCCCTGAGGGTCCCAAGACAACCAAGAGGCTCCCAATACGGCCAACGAACCCTCCAGAAACCCCCAGGACGGCTCCAAGAGGGTGCCCAGACTAGGGGCCCGAACGGACATGTCGAACTCTCGACCCCGAGAGGCTCACGGGATCCCCCAAGAAGCCCCCTACAGGACCCCGTAAAGCTTCAGGACGTCCCGAAAATAGGGCCAAGAGACACCCGAGAGGCCTCCCAAGAGAACCAAAGAAACCTCCCAAACAGACGTCTTGTCCGCGACCAAGCTTGGCCCCCAACTACACCAAGAAGACATCGAGAGGCCTCCTCTTCATCCTCATAGGATTCTCCTCCTCCTCCTCCTCCTCCTCCTCCTCCTCCTCCCCCTCCTGCTCGTCCTCGTCCTCGTCCTCGCCGTCGTCGTCGTTGAGGTCGTCCACCTTCTTCTCCTCCTCCTCCTCCTCCTCCTCCTCCTCCTCCACCTCCTCCTCCCCCTCTTCCTCCCCCACCATCATCATCACCACCATCATCATCATCATCAGCATCATCAGCAGCATCATCATTATCATCATCCTCAGCAGCATTATCATCATCGTCGTCATCATCATCATCATCAGCATCATCAGCATCATCATCAGCATCATCACCATTATCATCACCATCATCATCACCATCATCATCACCATCATCATAAATCATCATCATGATCAATAGTATCATCATCATCAACATCATCATCAGCATCAGCAGCAGCACCACAACCAGCAGCATCAGCATCAGCATCATAATCAGCACCACCGCCATACTCATCATCATCAGCAGCATCAGCATCAGCATCAGCATCACCAATATCATCAACATAATCAGCGGCATCATCTTCGTCATCATCATCCGCATCATCATTATCCTCAGCATCCTGACCCTCCTCCCCATCATCATTATCATCATTATCATCATTATCATCATCAGCATCATCAGCTTCTTCATCATCATCATCATCATCATCATCATCATCATCATCATCATCATCATCATCATCGCCAGCACCACCATCATCATCGTCATCATCGCCACCTGCATCATCATCATCATCATCATCATCATCATCGTCATCATCATCATCGTCGTCGTCATCATCATCATCGTCATCATTATCCTCACCATCATCATCACCAGCATCAACATCATCACCACAAGCATCATCATCAACATCATCATCACCATCATCATCACCATCATCAGCATCATCACCATCATCCCCTTCCTCATCTTGTCCACACCATCCTCATCGTCATCGTCACCGTCCTCATCGTCTTCCGTCATCTCATCCTGTTGACCCTGATGCTCGCCGTCTTCCTACTCATCGTATTGTTTTTACCCGCTCTCCTGATCCCCGTTCTGCTGCCCCGCCTCCAAGTCGTTCAATTCCCATCCTCAGTCATCCTCGCCGCCCTCCCGGTCTTCGTTGCCGCCGCCACCGCCACCACGGCAATTTGACTGTTCTCCATGGGCTGCGCGAGCGAACAGCAGCTACGGCGTAGCCGTACGCGTAGCTGCTACGCGTACGACTGCGTCTCCTTACCGTGACTTCGCGCGAAAGCTTGGGCACACTGGCGCCACTCAACAATGGCCCTGCAACTACGACGCACGAGCACGCGGCAACGATGGATTTCATGGGCTGGCGGAGTGGGCGAAGCGACTCTATAAAGAAACGCTGAGGGCGGAGGCAGTAGCAGCTCGGGGTATCGGGCCCGAGGCCAAGGACGGGGGCCTCAAGTTTGGCTCCGACGCTGCGGGTCGAGGCCATGCCGATTTGGGGCCGCGCCCCCTGTCAGAGTATAGGACCCCGCGGCTTCTTGAGGCGGAGGCTGATGGATGACACCCTGGGACCCAGCGCTCAGGGCTCCAGGTGTTGACGGCGCGGTGTCGGCCGTGGTCGCAGCGCCTGGGGCTTAGGACGCATGGGTCTGGCGCGGGGCCGCCGGCTAGATGCCAACGGGGCGCGTCCGGCGGGCACAGCCTGGAGGCAATCTCGGGCCCCCGCTCGCCCATGTAACATCGGCGCAGAACTGCTCTGCGCGCGACGCAAGGCGATTACACCACAAACTGTGGACGAACCCAAACGGCAGTCCCGCCCAGGGGCGGCGCTGTGATGGTGGGACGACCTCCCAACAAAAATGAATGCTCGCCTTCCCCCCCCCCCCGCCTGAATGTTAGCTTCATGCAGACGTCGTGATTCGATCTCTCTCTGTATCCCTCTCTCCCTATCCCTCCTCTCGCTCTCTCTCCCCCTCTCCCTCCCTGTCCCTCGCCCACTCCCCCCCTCTCCCCCTCTCCTCTCTCCCCTACCCCCATCACTCTCGCTCTCTCTCTCTCTCTCTGGGAGCGGGGGCCCCGGGTCCTTCTCGACCTCCTCGTAGCACGGCTCGCCCTTCACGGCCGTGTAGCACTGGCAGGGCGGAGGACAGCTGGCTGGCCGGAGCCGGTGCACCGCCGCCTGGCCGCGGGGCGCGCTGGCCGGCCGGAGGCGGGAGGGCCCCGGGGCCTCGTTGCGCCGTGTGGCAGCAGAAGCACGTAAGCAAAGGCACGTCTGCCAGGTGTTGGCCGCTCTCGGCCTCGAGAGAGGCCACGAGGTCATCCAGAGACGACTCGGGAGGAGAGGCCGGTCTCACGGGGAAAGGGTCCAGAGCTCTGGGTAGCCAGGCTGCGACAAAATCACAGCCTCGGATGTCGGGAGGAGAGGCAGGAGCAGGAGGAGCGGCAGGCGGAGGGAGGGGGAGGGAGGACGGGTGACGATGATGGAGGACGGGGGAGGAGGAGGATCGAGGATCGAGAAGGATCGACGAGCATCGAGGGGAATCGAGGACGATTGAGGAAAGATCGAGGAAGATCGGGGGGTCGCATCGGATCGGCCACTCGTCGAAAGTACGAAAGTGCGTCACGACTATCAGGGGTGGTGGTTCACGACGAAACACCAGCCCAAGGATGGGGGAATGGAGAGAGGACGCTCATATCTCTCATACTCCTCCTCCTCCTCACCCGCCTCGTCCCCCGCCTCTCATTCTTCTCCATCTTTTTGAATCAATGTCCGAAATTGACACGGAGTCTTGGAGACATAGATTGAATGCGTTTGTGTAAGCATCCATCTCCTCCTCACCCCGTTCCCTGATAGATAAGTCCTCCTCTTCCGGCCAACAGACGCCTCGGTATTGCTGGCTGAGCATCTCTCATGGGGCCCTCTCCCAACTTACGATTGTGACGCTTGAAACTTTCAACAGCTATAACGATGCAGGGCCAATCGCTGTCCAACTGGAGCGATGGCCGTACACAGAGCGAAGTCGTCTTAAAGGCTTGCCACGATTACAGCGACGCAGGGCGGCTAAAAAAGGGTGCTCTCGTCATAGCGCCTCGCACAGTCTCCCCAGCAGTTTGCAGAAACTGAAGGGATGAGTGGTGGCTCGTTTCAATATGGCAGCTCCCAATTCAGCGCAGCGCGCGTTGATAGTTCATGCGAGCTTCACAAAAGACGGTGGGCGGCCAATCAATTGTAATTGGAACTGGGCCCGCCCTGAAATCCTGGTCGGAACGCGCTCCATGGCAGGTCTGGGACCCACTTCTTGGAAGAGGAATGGGAAATTAATTAAGAGTGGGATGAAGAAATATCCTCCACCCTCCCGTCCCCTTCCCGCACCCACCAAGACGCCGCCCAGCCTCATCGTGGAGTCCCACTGGGAGTTGCTATATTTGTACCCAACCACAAACTCATCCTCAAAAACCTTGAGGTGGATCCCCCCGTGGCCTCCAAGAGCGCCTTACATGAGTCCAAGAGGCAGAGAATTTTCAGATCGTTGAACACCTGTAGGGTACACGGGCTGCCTGGAAACGTTCCTTCGGCGTTGCGAACGAGAAGCCGATCGTGTATGGTCGGCTCGGCCTCGCCAGCCATCTGGCCAAAAAAAACAACAGGCACTTGACGATTCTCACCTGGATGGCAGGCAGGCTGTTGAAGCCAGCCGAGGCGTCTCACGCGCAAATCCAGCTGCGTCGGGACCATGCCCAAGCATCGCGACATCTTCTGATCAGGGAAAAAGGCATGGTTGATACTGCCACGGGGGCTGTAACACTTCAAAGCTGCATCACCATTTAGTACAATCGCCCCCCGCAGGAGAAAAACACTATCAAAACTACGGTACTCGCTGGCAGTGGGTATACAGGCTTCAAGTCCGCTCAAGCCAGCAAACTGGGGACTTTCCTGGAGGCCCAGGAGCTGAATCCTTCGGGTGGGCGCTTCGTGAACCAGAAGCGTCCCGTGGAGGACCCCGACCCTTCATAGGTTTTTTTCTGGATCTGCTGGCGTTGTTGCGCTGTCGCCCCGTTCCAATGCAACTGAGCCTCGAGGCACGTAGCGTGTGCAGCGGCCTTCCCAGGAAACAATGGGACGCACAGAGACATACTAATACTAGATGTCCTCCTTGGAGGCGCGCGTACGACCTGAACATATAGTATACCCATCTTGTAGTATATCGTTTCCCGAGCGGTGTGGCCAGAAAGCGCCCGCCACGACGCATATACTATAAGATTTCTCGGTGCGCGCGTCGCCCCTGGGGGGCGACGAACACATAGTATAAGTATGTTGGGGGGACGCCGAAACTCGGACCCAGACGGCGAGAAAAGCCTGGACTTCTTCACGGCCTGCTTCCCCACAAGCCTTGGTACGGCGACCTGCTTGGTAAGTGTTCAAGGCGCCGGCGACCCCTCGAAGTAGACCCTCAGTACTGTTGGTGGCCTGCACAACTTCAAACACTAATTGCTCAACGCTCCCACCCGCGATCATAAGTGCAGTGTCATCCAGAACCCAGGTGGTGGCCACGTGAATCTCGGGTTCCAGCGAAGGTAAGGAAGTGGAGGAGGACGAAGCGGCGGAGGAGAAGGAGGGGAATGGGGAAGGGGAGGGGACTGTGACGTGCAGAGTCCTTCTTGAACCTCCTGGCCTCTGGGGTACCCTTGTCGCCTCGGCTGGGTCCGACCTGGCACCTGGCCAGAATGCGCGCAGGGAGAGGTCCAGGGGTGGTTGGAGTCTGCCTGGGAGGTTCCGCCAATCTGGGCGCGGGCGGACCCGTGGTAGCGCATCGCAGATGGCTACCCCCCCTGGAGGGAGACGCGCCCACCGCCCCAGACGTAGGAATGCACCAACAATACACCAACACCGATCCTGGCCAGGATCACCCTGGGCCCAGGGTGATCCTGGGCCAGGATCGGTGTTGGTGTATAGTTGGTGCCCTCCGAAGACGGGCGCCGTGCCCGAGAGATCCCACCAGTCTCTCGGCGTGAACGGGGCCCGTGCCCCGACCTCCTGGTGGCCTCCTCCTGGAAGGCCCGAGCGCAGTGCCTGCCAGCACGCCGCGGTCCAGATGGCGATCAGCTGTGTGACTCGAAGTTTCGGTCGGGTCTGTCCCCCTACAGGCCGATTTCCGAAGAAAAATAAGACATACAAAAAAACATACCCCCAAATGGTCAAACATAGTCAAACAATCGTCCCCAGCATATTTTATACTATTTTGGAATATTCCCCCTAGAGAGGGACACGCCCGACTGAATTCTGAGTCCACCGACCCCGCAACTCATGCCTCATCCGTGCGACGGGGCAGCGCGCAACGTTGCGAGATCACACCGAGGAACTCGATATTTGGGCAACCGATCTGTTCCCAACACTCCTTAGAACCTAGAACTGCTCCGTTTCCCGCGAAATTGGAATGCAAACTCATGTGAACGCGGGCGAGCTCCATCGACCCGAAAGGACGATATTACCACGCCCGAACCGAGCCAGAACTCCACAACTCACGGATGTCTGGGGCACGTCAACATACTGCAGGTCCATGCTCCAGAAGCCGCGATCACCCGCTGAAGACACGTTCAGCCCACGAACCCAGGGAACAAAAACCAGAGCTGCCCTAACTTGGGCAACGGGCAGTGTCACTGCTGAGAGTACTCCTGGTGACGGTACCGTGCCCGGCGCTGCCCTTCGAGAAAGCGTGGCAAGGCGCACGTTCAACCCGCATCAGAAGGATGCGCGGTGAGGATGCGAACGCCTTGGACGGCCGTGCTCACGAGTCTCGAGCGAGCTTGGCCAACGAACGCGGCCAGGGATGGACCGCGTCGGCGAGGATGCAAAAGGGGTACTCCTGGGAAGGCTGCCCATATCCCGGCTGCGCGGGTATAGACCGTGCCGCAGGATGCGCCGCGGAGCGCGTCCGGGGGACCGCTGAGGCCCCGCCTTCCTTTTCCCTTCCTCTGTCAATTTAAGCTGTGCGCGGCCCGCTTAGCTTCGACCGGAAGAGGCTCGCTCTCGACCCGCGAATCAAAGAAGTGTCCGGGGACCCGCGTGGAGACGAGCCCGGGGGACGCGCTGGGAGGCGCGCCGGGGAGGCACGCCGCCGCGCGACGTGCCCCCCCCCCTGGACGCGGCACGGGGGCACGCGCCCGGGGGATGCGCCAGGCGACGCGCCCGGGAGCGTGCCGCGCGACGTGCGGCAGGGCACGTGTGCCCGGGCGACGTGGCGCCAGGAGGCGTGCCGCGGGCCAGGGGGGCGCGCCCGTGGGCGCGCCGAGAGGCGTGGCAGGGGAAGGGAGAGGGGGGAAGGGCCGGCGGACGTGCCGGCAGACGCGCCACGGAACGCGCCGCCCACGCGCCAGGTGATGCACCAAAGGGCCAGCCAGGAAGCGTGGCAACACCATCAAGGATACACCGACACTAGAGATGTGGAGCAAGCAGCGCGAATGGTCGCCATCCCACCGCTGCTCCTCCAGCCGCCCACATCCTCGCGATGCGGTGCAAAGCTTTCCCCCCGAGCGACCCACACTATGCGGCAGGAGGTGGCCACACCGACAAAAACGCACAACTCTCGCGCAATTTTGTTTTGAACTCCCTGCGCTTGGCGACCGCTCCCAGGCCCTGGGGGCCATCCCAACACCAGCCACGGCGAGAAGTGGACGTGACGCCAGACGTCGGAGTGCACTGATCGTGGCCCCAGCGCGTCCAAATCTCCAGATCGGTGGATCCACACCCCTGGCCTGGCCAGCACAAGAGACGCCCGTCCAGGGCCCAGGACTCGCTCGGCGGGGATCGGCGCACGCAGAGAGTTGGGCCCCCCCGCCAGCGCCTGGAACTCCTCGAAGGTCGAGTTCTTGGACAGCCCAGAGTACCTGCAGGGGGCGTCGGGATACCGAGGCGTCCGCGAGGCGAGAGGCGCAGGAGGACGAAGGGGCCCAGGGGCACACGCAAATGAATCGACACAAATCTTGCGACTTGCACGTCCCTCTACAGGGGGCCACAGATGGGGTCGCCCAGAAGTCCCCTGAACCATCCCAGGGTAGCGTTTTTTCGTTGTCTCTGAAACTCCTACGTTTTCACCTCTTGGGGGACCTTTGGGGGATCGGGCATTCATTACTAGATGACGTCCAAGGCGTCGCAGTACTTGCGAGGAGGAGTACGAAGTGGAGCATAGGAGGAGGATTGTATAGCAGCGATACGAGGAGACGAATCATGACGAGGAGGATGAACCGAGAAGGTGATAAGTAGGAACACTTAGAGGACGAGGACTCAACGTGCACGGCAGGGCGCGGCAGGTACACAAGGAGGAACACGAGGATGAGTAGGGAGGAAAATCATCAGGAGGAGCACGGGGAGGAGGAGGAGGAGGAGGAGGGAAGGATGCCGAAGGAGACGGAACGGAGCTGGAATATCAGAGAAGAAGGGCAACGAAAAACGAGGACGGGGCTGTATCGAGCACACCGTCCTCTTAAACAATGCGTCGGGGGCTGTGCCCAGCCCTATCCCCGCGTCGGGGGCTGCGCGTCGGGGGCCCCTACGAGCCGATCGGCCCTAGGAGCCTCTCTCGAGAGGCCACGGGATGCAGGTCCGAGGAGAGGTTTGGCTGGCAAAGACCCTCCGTGGCCCACTTGGCTCAGACCAGGGCCACGGCCGTGAATATCCTCGTCCTGTCTCCGTTCATGCCCATCCTACTTTGTTGTTCTGGATCCTGGACCCTCCATTGTTCATCCTCTTTTGTTGTTCTGGATCCTGGACCCTCGATCTTGGAAACTCGGCCTTCGATAAGAAGGGGGATGACGCGTGTTAGGAAGAGGTAGAGTAATGATGGGAGGAGCCGTGTGGTGTTTAGTGGAAGGACCGCGTGGAGTTGGAGTAAACATGCTGAGGGAAATGAGGAAAGAAGAGCAGGGGGAGGAACATGGGCAGGGATACGAGGGTATGGAATGGCAGGGGAAGGTGAAAAAGGAGGGCACAAGGACGATGAAGAGGACCGTCTGGACCGTGGGCATTCCTACCCTGGTCACGGGCGAACGTGCGGGGCACCGCAGACCTTGTGACTCTGTATTCGTGGCTCCTTACTCCTCGCTCGCTTCCTGACCCCTCCCTCCTCCCACCCCTCCTCCTCCTTCTGCTCCGCCTCCTCCTCCTCATCCTCATCCTCCTCATCCTCCTCATCATCCTGCTCCTCCTCCTTCTCCTCATTCTCCTCCTCGTTCGAGTCACTATTACGGCTGCGGCCCCCAAAAAAAGGAAAGGGCGCACTGGAGCTCTGCTGCCTCCTGGGTTAGTTGCTGCTGTTGCTCCTCCTATTTCTCCCACTCCTCCTCCTCCTCCTCCTCTTCCTCCTTCTCCTCCGTTGCAGGCCCAGTGCGCTCTGCAAAGAGAGCCGCACGCCTAGGCCTTGCCCTGAAGCGCAAGCTTCATCTTCATGGCGATGGGGGCGAAGACCGCCTTCGCGGCCTGTTCGCCGCCCATGTCCTGACAGAACGCTTTGGCGGCCATGGCGTGCCTGCGGAGCTCTGCCTTCTGGATGTTCGAATTGCCAGCCTTGTCCAGGATGAGGAGCTCCGTGTATAGCACGCTCAGGTCCGCTCGTAGCTGCATCATCTCGTCCCATTTGACGACAGGCATTTTCACGGACGCGAACAAGTCGTCGTGCTGGCGCAAGACCTGGCAAACCTCCTCGCATTTGGCCTTCAGTGCGTCCAGGCACACATTCGCGTGGAAGTCGCTAGCCTGCTTCGTCTCGATCAGCTCAGCCCACTTCACGTCGGCACTCAGGCCATCGTGCCAAGTCGGCACAGTCGAGCCCTTCATGCCGTAGATCTTCTCCGCGTCCTGCATGGCATTGAGGTTCTTCTCCTTCAGGTTCTTGATGAACGCCGTGGCGACCTCCTGCTTGGTCTGCACGGAGCGCTCGTACTCGCTGCGACCGAAGTTCGGGTCTCCGCCGTCCCCCTTCCACGTCTGGATCGCACTCTCGAAGGAGGTCAGGGCCCGACCGAGCTCCAGCAAGCGAGGCATGCACTGCTCTGACTTGGACCGTGCATCCGCGTCTGGGCCCATCGCCATCACGCACTTGGTCACCTCCGTCATGTTGACGAAGTTCTTTGCTGTAGCCACAATGCCCTCGGCGTACTTGCCACGCTTGATCATGATCTGTTCCGTGCTCGCCTTGAGGAAGGGTACCATCCGTCCGACAGCGCTCGTAATGAAGTAGACCGCATCGACGTGCTTGCCATCCGTGTCTGAAGACTCTCCTGGGGCCTGCTCGCTGTCCCTCTTGGCCACCTCGATCATGTGCTGCGAAGCGTGATTGACCGCATTCGAGATGGAGACGAGGGCTGCCTGGGGAAGGACCTCCCCTTCCTGGAGCTGGCCCAGCACGTTCTCCAGCCTGACCAACGTCTTGATGTCCTTCGTGGTCTGGTACTCGATGCACATGTCGTTGATATCTGTTACCCTCTTTTCCTGATCGAATGAGCCGATAACGCGGTTCAACTTCTCGATGTAGCCCCTCAGCTCGACCTTATCAACGAACACTTCCCTGGCAGTTGTAAGCAACTCCTTCAGCTCAATGATCGTAGTCATGCGATCCGATGTGATCTCCCTGGACTCTTCTGGGCTCGACTCCTCGCTGTGGCCAGCCTGGGCCTGATAGGTGCTCATCACCTGCGTCCAGAGCAAGTCCCTGACCCGACTGCAGGAGCCCTTGGGCATGCACTGCTCCCAGCCCAACAGCTTGGCGCAGACGTTCGTCAACACTGGAGGCGTCTCGCGCTCACCATTCTTCGCTGCGAGCTCCATCTTGTTCAGCATGGCCTTCACCTCCTGGTAGTACTCGTCGTACTTCGAATTCGGCTTGACGTATTCTGCAAGCAAGGTCTGCACGCGATGGCAATTGGCCAGCGACGGCGCGATCATCGAGAAGAAGTCGTCGGCCTGAGTGTTAGCAGCTGACGACTGGATCTGTTGAAGAAGGCTCCGCGGGTCCTCGACATCGGCACCGACAATGTACGGATCCACGAGGAAGTCCACACACTCATGAAGAAGAGACATCTGGATACTGAAGTCCACCACCCAGTCCTCCAGCTGCAAGTCCTCTGGCAAACTGAACACCTTCTTCGCTTCGACGCCCATCTCCCTGAGCCTACGATCCCCCTCAGCGCTGTTCATGCACAGGAGCTTGAGGATGACCTTGCCGAAGTACTCCTCCTTTGCGAAGTCGTAGTAAGCCGTCTTCCCAACTTGCTTCACGATCGCGTGGTACGACGGGTTGAGCATATCGAAGGTGTGTTTCTTGTTGTTGCCGATCGGGTCGAGTACGCAGACGAGCTCGGTCCACGTGGGATCGCTGTTTGAGGAGAGCCGCAGCGTCAGGTCAGACAAAGACTGGAACTTCCTCAATGTCAGACCCTGCTTCGTCTCGGGCAGCCACACTGGTTGCGGTCTGACTTGCTCCAGCTTTTCGATCAGGATCCTCAGCGCGTCGTCGGACATGAGATGGACTTGCGATGGTGAAAGCTTCAGGCTGTCGTTGAACAAATCGATGTGCTTCTCAAGCCTGTCGGCATCCGTGGTTTTGCCCTCCCTTGTGCGGCAAAGCTTGGCCTGGCCGACCTCCTTGGACATGGTGTTGCCACCTGCGCCCTGCGCCAAGTCGAGGACTTTTATCCAGTACTTCGGGGCTTTGACGTAGTAGCCTCCAGCCGTCTTCTTCAAAGTGCCATCCTTCTCGCTGGCCTTGATCGCACCAGGTTCATCCCAACGGGCAGGAGGACTTGGTGACGGCAATCGGTCTTTCGAACCCGATGCGGACGCCTTCGATACGGACTTCGGCTGATCACCAAATCGAGAAGAATCCCGCTGGGAGCCAGGGGTGCTCGGCGGAGCCGCGGTCGAAGCAGCAGCTCCAGGAGACCCTTCAATGCCTTCATAGTCAGAACCGTCGTCAATGAAGCTCGCGTCGTCACCATCACCTTTTTTAGTTGGCTTGCCTTTCTCAGCAGACCTCTTATTAGTCAGCTCGTCGCGCTTCTGCCTGATGGTCCTGCTGCGTATTTCAAGCTGGTCCCACGTCTTCAAACCACTCGGCATTCGCATGTTGCCGCCTCCGAAGTCATCGATGTCGAAGGCCCGCTTGACGTTCGGCGCGATCTGCACGTCGTTCACGTTCTCACGCGAATCCATCACTGGAGTACCCCTCTTCACGGCGATGTCGGTGTAGAAGTAGATCTTCTGCGGCGCCCCCTCGACGGCCACAGGGTAACCGGACGCAACCTCAATGCCGTTCTTGTCCAGGAGCTCCACGGGGTTCATCCCGAGGCACTTCGGAGTGACCCCGCTGCAACGCCTCTTGATCACCTGTTCGGTCGCAAGCTCGGCCTCCTGCTCGATGCGGCAACCGATGTGGGCGACCTTACTGATGTCCTGCTCCATCGTCTCCCTCTTCCGTTTGCCAGCTGCCACCTCCATAGCCTTATCGCACACATGGTGGAAGTCAGGCACGTCCTTGCCCAAGTCGAGGAACTGCTGCCAGGTCATCCATGGGAAGAGGACCTCCTTCTGCGCGTAGCACTCCTCGCACGCATTCTGCGACCCACGCGGGTCGAGAGACTGGATCTTGAAGGGGCGGTCCTTGGGGAGTCGGACATACTCTCCCCAGCAAACTGCCCCCCCCCCCCTAGGGTTCACATCGGTACGGACCCTTGTCGTTGGCTCAAGTAAGATTTGGCATCGAATCTAACAAATAAACTCGCACCTCTCCTACCCACCCTCCTTCCCCCCTGCCTCTCTCACCTCTCAAAGTTCTCATTGCCTCATCGTGCGTCTGAGCATGGCCTATCTTCTCACTGTGTCGTTCCCTTCTTTT